CACACCTCCTCTCTCCTGGGCTGGAGAGATGTAGCTCCCCCTGCCTGTCTGAACACGACAGTCCCCCTGAGACCTGGGATCTTGTCCTCCTGCTCGGGACACTTTCTAGGGCTGGAAGATCTTTTCTGTGGGATGATGTGGTGATCAGCCCTGAACACAGTCCTCCAGCTGAGATCTGACCAGAGCAGAGCGGAGCTTCAACAGATCTCCCCGGACTGAGACCCCCCACTCCCCCTCGGCTGCTTCCCTCCGCAGGAAGCCGGGGGTGTCTAGTGGCTGTAGCGCCTCCCGTAGCGCAGCGCGGGAGGGCCGTGCCGGACCAGGCCGAAGTCCAGGCTCCGGGCGCTGCAGGCCAGGGAGCCGGACAGGGCGGAGGCGTCCAGGCTGACGATGGACTCGCGCACCTTCCTCTGGTAGGCCTCGGGGGTGTTCTGCGCCCTCTTGAAGAGCACGAAGTAGCACTTGGGCAGCAGGTGGCAGCACACGACGCCGTAGTTGGAGGCCAGGATGGCGGAGGCCTGCACGGCGGCGCGCTGCTGGCTGCGGGTGACGTAGACGGGCACGAAGCACACCCACACGAAGAGGTAGACCAGCATGCTGAAGATGATGTAGCCCGTCTCGTTGTACCAGTGGGGGATCTTGCGGCTCTTGAAGGCCAGCATGAAGCAGGCGAAGGCCAGCAGGCCGATGTAGCTCAGCATGATGCCGAAGCCCACGTTGGAGCCCTCCACGCACTGCACCAGCACGGTCATGCTCTGCTCCGCGGTCAGGTGCTCGACCCGGGGGCCGTCGAAGATCAGCCAGAAGGCGCAGATGGCGCCCTGCACTGCCGTGAGGAGGAGGAGGATGGCGCCCGGCCGGTAGAGCTTCTTCAGCCTCTGCTGGACGCCCAGGTCGAAGAGGAAGGCCAGGTAGGTGCGGAAGGCCTTGACCAGGATGCAGGAGACGCAGAGGGTGAAGCTGAGGCCGTAGAGGGGCTGGCGCACCTGGCAGGCGTAGGGGTCGGGCCTCCCGATGAAGAGGGCCACGCTGCCGAAGCTGGCGGCCAGCGCGGCCAGCATGGCGTAGCAGAG